TTCCACAGCCTATAATCAGCAGCTGTAATGATGCAAGACAAAATCATGCCCCACTGTGTGTGGCCTTGGAGGACAAGGCCGTGACCCAAATGTGAGCAGAATGTTAGCTTTGCCTGATGGAGGCAGGACCCAACACCTGGGCACTGGGAGTTTACTGAGACCAACATGGTGGAAGGGTCTTCCATCCTTCCTGTCTCAGACTGCTAAAAGATGGGAGGACTTTGGGGGAGACACTCCCTGTACCTCCTGCCATGGATACCTAGCCAGCCAGCACCCCACATCTGTTGGGGGCCAGGACTCACCCCAAAAAAGCTGAACTCCCAATATAGATGTACACTTTTCTCAAGATTGGGAGTATTTCATGGGAACCATCATCATGCAGATGGACTCTAGGGAAAATCATCTAGTTACAATGACCACACAAATTGTGGAGAAATAGAGAGCACTGTTAGGATTTAGCTGGGAACAATGTTGGGAAGGAAGAGGAAGATGAGAAGGATGAAGGCGGTTGGTCAGTGTCCAAAGCAGCATTGGCCAAAGCGGCGTCAGAGAAGTCTGTTGGATCACATGGGTTCTTGGCAGGTGGTGCAGTGGCATGAGACCTCGATTTGGAGTCAGGGGTTCTGCTACTCAGCACCTGCATAACCTTGTGGAAATCCCTTCCCCTTTCTGGGCTTCAGCTTACCCATCTGTAAGATGAAAGGTTTGGAATAAAAGATCCCTGAGATACCTCCCAATTCTTAATGTGTGTCTCTAAAGAAGAAAGGAAGGGAAAAGCTAATGATTGCTTCCAATCTGAAAAGCATTTATCAAGTGCCTACTGCATACTAGGTCCTGTCCTTAGCACTGAGATTAGAAAGAAAGACAAAAGTGCAGCCTGCTCTCAAGAAGCTTCCATTCTGTAGTGGGTGGTAGAAAGACAACATGAACACAAATTGGTAACTTCCAGATCATTTCGAGAGGATGGTGCCTTGGCCAGCTGGGAGACACCACACATGAAACCTTTAGAGTTGATTCGAGATTGCCGAAGGAAGTGGATGAAAATGTCAGTGTTGTGGTTGGCGTGGCCATGGGGGGAGATGGGGAGGAAACTAGGGGAGAGCAGAGGAGGGAGCTGGTGATCTGAGGTGGGGAGAGGGAGATGGAGCGTGGGGCAAGAGGGAGAGGAGCAGCATTCCAATTTCCCATGGAGGCAAATTATCCAGGCTTGAAGGAAGCTCCAGCTCCTGTTTCTGTAATGGCCTTTTCAGCATCATCTTGTCAACAGGAATTAATAACTTTAACAAGGTCCCTTAAATATATTATTTACAAGCCCCCTGTGTCTTGCATGCTGTGATCCATGATTCTAACCCGCATTTCACTCCCCTTCATACGCTGATTTGTTAGAGTCTGGAGTGAAAAGACGAATTCCATAGAGAAAATAGTGGAGAGTTTAAAGTGTTATTCTAACTTTTGGAGCTGGTATTTTCACTGTTTTGTACATCACTGGCTGGGAGGAGTGATGGGGGATCCAATAATTTGGAGAAAAGATACACCTTAGGAAGTTCAGAGATTGAGGGGAAAAAAGTGAGTGAGTGAGCAGCAAAGAGGGAGGGAGGGAGGGCAGCTTGGCACAGCGGAAAGAACCTTGCCTCTATAGTCAGAGGGCCTGGGCTGCCTCTGATACTTACTATATGTGTGACCTTGGACAAGTCACTTCTCCAAGGCCCTCAGTTTCCCCATCTGTAAAATGGGGGGCGGGTGCAGATGGACACCTCTGGAACTGGGGCCCCAGGAGCCCGTGTTGCCAGTGGACAGCGCTGACCTGAGTGATTTTCCCTGGCTCTCCTTCCCTGGGGAGCTGAGCAAAGCACTGAAAACGAGTCAAAGATGAGGTGGCCAGACGGATGTGTGGAAGGAGATGGATGCAATTCGGAGTCGAAACTCATCTCGTAAGGACATAGCTGGAGCCTTAGTCACTGTCGTGTTTAAAACATTTACCCCTAACAACCTAACCTCAGAGGAGCGGCCCGTGGAAACCAGACAGGAAGGCTTTGGGCTACGGACGGAATGCTGAGGCCACGTCTGCTTCTAGTTTTTAACTGATCGCTTCCTTTCTCATGAATTTAGAATTTGGGCCCAACCCCAGCTTGGAAAAAGAGGGCATGGCTGGTGCGCTCCCGCTGGGGAAGCATCAGGGCGGCCTGCCGGAGCCTGCTGCCTGGGGCTCTCGGTGGCTCCCTGGAGGCCGCCTTTGCCCCCTTCCCCGTCTCACCAGAACCAAGCATGTTGTACCTCTGTTTATTTGCAGATTGCAAGCTTCGTGAACAAGTCTGCCATCGACATCTCCATCCTGCAGCGCTCCTTAGCCATCCTGGAATCCATGGTACTGAACAGCCATGACCTATACCAGAAAGTGGCGCAAGAGATCACGATTGGCCAGCTCATCCCCCATCTTCAGGGGTAAGGAATGGTGAAGGGAGCTCTAGCAAATGGACCCAAGGAGGTCCAGAATAGGATGGCTCTGGGAACTCATTGACGTCAGTGCCCCCCTAACAGGGAGAGCCCAGCCCATCTATGCCTGCCCATCCCAGGCAATGTCTCCCCATATGGATTCCCATCAGTCTTCCTTGAGGGATCTGCCTGGTACCCGGGCTGACCTCAAGGCCTGTGACGTTCCATGACTACAATGTCGAACCATGCTTTGGAAAATATATTGCGCATCAATTTTGTAAGGAGCTGTGATCTTGAGAGAGAGAGAGAGGAAGAGGAGGGAGGGAGGGAAGGAGGGAGAGAGAGAGAGGAAGAGGAGGAAGGGAGGGAGGGAGGGAGGGAGAGAGGAAAGACAGAGGTCAGAGAGGCTATGACAAAGTACAGGACTCCTGCATTCAAGTCACTTTGTTCACTTAGTGTCTGTGTGTGACCCTGGGCAAGTCATTTGGCTACTCTGAGGCCAGGAGTGATATCTGCACTCTCCACTCCCCAGACCTCATAAGCCATCCAGTGCTGTGACTGTCATGATTACAATTGTTAAAAATTATTGACTTTATGTGAGGGTGTTAGTGAGACTCCTGAGACAATGAGATCTCTGTGTCCTCTTTGGGCTCTTCCTTTTTTCATGATAAGATGATTATATGTGATCTCACTATCAAATCAGACTACATACATGTTGCACATACACATACATACACATATAAATATATACATATATACATCCATATGGATAGCTAACACTAATAATGGGCAGCTAGGTGGCACAGTGATAGAGTACTGGGCCTGAAGTCAGCCTCTCAACTGCCTGAGTTCAAATCCAGCCTCAGATACTTACTTAATTGTGTTGTATGACCTTAGGTAAGTCATTTTACCCTGTTTCCCTCAGTTTCTTCATCTGTAAAAACCACTGCAACATCTCTGCCAAGAAAACCCCAAATGGGGCCCTGAAGAGTCAGGCAAAACTGAACAAAAACTAAAACATTGATAAGAATAGCTAACATTGACATAAGGTTTTAATGTTTGCTAAGTTTATATCTATACATACACACACATACACATGTAAATGCAACATAATATGTACATATAATAGGAAAATATATTCACATATGTACACATGCAAAATATATACATATAAATACATGTATATATACATATATGTGTAAACATACATACACACACACATATATATACAAAACATTAAAACCCTGTGTCAGTATTAGCCATTCTTATCATAGGGTCATGGATTGAGAGCTTGAGGAGACCTTAGAGGTCATTTGGCTCCTCCCTCCCTTTTATAGATAAGGATACTGAGGCCCAGAGAGGCTTGACCAAGGCTAGACCCAGGATCTGAACTCAGGTCTTTGGGCCCCTAATCCCACACTTCTTTTACTGCATCGTCCTGCTTCCCAGCAGTTTGGCGGGGCTTTCAAGTGTGTGAAGGGGAGTAACAGTCCACAAGGGTTGGCCAGAGTCCACCTTTGAAGGGCTTCAGAGGCCAAAGGGAAGCGTTTATGTTTTATTCTAGGGGAAACAGGGAGACAGTGAAGTTTCATGAGCAGGAGGGTGCCATGGTAAGCCCGTGTTTTCAGGCCGTCAGTTTAGCAGCCATGGGGAGCATGGACTGGAGCAGAGAACCTGGTGTTTTCTTTCTTGATCCCTTGTACTTATGGTCGTGCTTTTCACTGGTGGAGGAAGGAGTTTCCTCCGTGGGCAGAGCCCCAGGTGTGCCAAGCCAGAGGTTGGGGGCAGTGCCATCCTTCGGTGTGGCTGGGACCAAAGCCAGCCAGACTGCTCCAGTGCCTTCCTGTTTGCTGAAAGAAGATTAGTGAGGCAGACCCCACATTGTTCCAGTGCCCCTTTTTCTAAGCTCTCCTGGTTCCTTGTGCTGCATTTTAAAGTCCTTCACTTTGTAGCCGGGATTGTGAATTTTGTCTCCTCTCTTGTCTTACCTGGTGGTTGAGGGAAGCATTCTAGCCTCTTTGGATCTCTCTGATCCCTTGTGGTTTTTTTATCTTTAGGACGGATCAAGAAATCCAAACGTACACCATTGCTGTAATCAATGCCCTTTTCCTCAAGGCCCCTGATGAGAAGCGGCAGGTAAGGGATGTTTCCTCTCTCACCAAGAGCTGCTGAAGGCGGGCTGGGAGGCAGCCCCAGCTGCACTGTCTTTGGACCTTCTGGCCTCTTCTTCTTTTCTGAACCTGGGTTCTACATGAGGGAGAGGGTCGCTTATTCTGTGTGTGTGTATGAGCACATCTGTGTGCACACATACATGAGTCCCTATCTCTGTGCGCGCCCCTGCCTGTGTGTGGTGACAGAGGAGAGAGCCCTGTGTCTGCCTGGTCCTTTTATATCTTTTCCTCGGGCCTTATCATCCCTGTCTCAACTGATCCCCACATTCTCTGGTACCTAGGACAGTTCCTGGATCCAAAGGCCAGTGTAGACCTAGCACTGGACCCTTGGGAAGACAAGAAGTAGGATTTAGTAAGATGTGGAGTGTGAACCATACAGCAGGCAGCCGGGTGGCTAGAGGGTAGGACCTCTAGCTGGCTGTGTGACCCTGGGCAAGTCCCTTAATGGGAATGATAGCACCTACCTTCCAAGCTCGTCGTGAGGATCCAGTGAGATCGTATTTGTAGAACACTTCCCAACCATAAAGCGCTATGGAAATACTGGGTATTATAGTCGCTGTTGTACAATCCAGTAGATTGTTGATGCCCATTTTATAGATGGGATGACTGAGACCTAGGAAGCTTGGGAGCTCTCATGTCCTGACAGAGCAGCTATCAATGAGAACCCTTTGTTTTGTGTTTGCTGTCCCCCATCCCTCACAGTCACTGAGCTGGCCTGGGCCTGAGCGGCCAGCTTCTCTGAGATGAGGTACCTCAACTATGGGGAAGGAGCCTAGGCTGCTGTCCACTGGCTGACTTCTCCCTCCAGTCAGGTGGGAAGGGAGGGGAGGTTGGATGTCAAAGGACTGGTCACTTCTGGCCAAACCCTAGGGAGAAGGGACAGATTCACCTTCTCCTGAATTTGAGTCCTGAGGCTTTCCACTCATCCAGCCTCAAGTGAGCCTTTTCCATTTCTCTTAATGCTTAAAGCCAATGAAATTATGAATGATTGAGTCCATATTGCATGCATTAATATACATGTAAGTCATTACAGCAAAGTGTGGAAGCAAAGAACTGGCCAGCCACAAGCGGAGACATAATTTTATGAGCTCCTTTGCTCAGGGAAACATTTGCCGAGGATCTGAGAACTGACTGATGAAATGTTGGCCATTGGGCTTCATTTGGAATTGGAGGCTCCTGAGTCTTGATGCGGGCTTAAATTTTATACAGTAGATTGAGCCCAGAGAACCTGACAATCCTCAGCATTATTTTTTGGCTCTTGTATGCTGTGGGGTCATTGCCAGAAGATTCTCTTAGACTTGGCTTGTGTGATTGAATGGTTTAGCTGATTATTTTTTAAATGGCATGAGGGGTCTTCTTTATGAGGATAGTGAGGAGGTGAGAGGAGGGAAGGAAAAGGAAGAGAAGGGAAGGGAAGGGGGGGAGAAAGAAGACGAGTAAAGGAAGGAAGGAAAAGAAGAATTGAAGAAAGACATTCATGATAACTTCTTTTTTTTATCAAAACAGCATCTGCTCCACAGTGTTCACTGCTGGTGCTGCCAAACCACCCATAGCAAGGCTGTGTTGGTGCTGCTTAGAGCCAGAAATCTGCAGCTCCTCCCGTGGTATCTTTGGAAGTGGATACGATCAATATTTATGCACTTCCTTGCCCAGCCCTCTTGTTAAATCCTTGGATTGGTGCCGAAGAACTCCGGAGGAGGGCGTTAGACCCTCTTCTGTTGGGTGTCCAAAGGGGTAATCCTCAGGAAGACTCCATCCTTCCCTGTGGGTCCAACACGTGGCCTCAGCTTGGAGGTGTTGAAGGCCGTATTACTTGACCAGATCTGTTGAGTCTGGAGGCTTTGAGTGTGGGTCTGGTGAGGGAAGGGATGCTCCCTGAGGACCAGCAGAGCTGAGATAAGAGCAGTTAGCTCCTCACCAGGAAAGGCTGGCTCTGAGGGATGAATCTTTTCAGCCACGGGGCCCTAGACTGGAGTGGGAGGCCCTGTGGACTGGCCACATGCAGGGAATCATGGGGGCTGGCAGGACTGAAATCATGGCCCAGTCAACTACTGTTCTACGGGGATCTCCAGGCTATGGCTTCGCACAGTCCGTGGCTCCTGGCCACATCCTGGGGCCCTCATCATGCCAGGGTGAGCATTCCAAGCCCGCCCTCCTGTTCCTTGGCCCCAGTGGTTAGAAGTGGGTTTTTTCCATAGGTTGAATAAACTCTTACTGTCATTGTTATTCCTGGTGATTTGGAGCTATCCTTCAAATGGTTGTTAATAGTTTTCCATTCTTTTAAGAAATGTGTGTTCATATCCTTTCGCCACTTATCCACTGGGGAATAGCTCTTGGTCCTATTTATGTGTGTTAGTTCTTTATACTTTGCCTTTAGACCCTTAGCATATTTCTATCCTGCTTTTAGGAAATTAAAACTTATTGGGCAACTGGGTGGTCTAGTGCCTAGAGAGCTGGACTTGGATTCAGGAAGACCTGAGTTCAAATCCAGCCTCAGACACTTGTGGCCTAAAGAAGAGATCCCTGCTTTGTATGGACAGCGAAGGAGCCAGGGCCTTCCAGATGGCCGCCTATTTGTTTTCAGATGAGGGTCAGTTTTCTTCTTGGGGAGGCCCGGTAGCGCGGCCCTGGGTTTCTTCCCTCGTATTGTCCCAGCTTTGTGACACGCTCTTTCTGCACACGGCTGGGGCGCTGGGGCATCAGACGGTCAGAGCCCACTAACCCAACTCCTCTGGACTCTCCCCTTCTTCTCTCCCACCTGCCTTCGCGCCCCGGGGGGCGGCTTGCAGGTCAAGCTAGAGCCTCAGGCAGACATCCTAGAGTGCCCACTCACTGTAAGTCTCTGCTCGGCTCCCCGCCTCCCTCAGCGGGGTCCTCTGCCCGGCCTCCCTCCCCGCCTGCTCTCCTGCCCTGCTTCCACTGACCATCTGTGGCTGCTTCCGCTCCCACCCACCCCTTCTACAGCCTCGTGCGGAGGTGGGTTTTGTCCAAAGCCTAGATCACAGCTTCGCTTCTTTTCTACCTTCATGACACACACGAGCACGTGTTTCCCCATCTGTAATATGAGAGGGTCAGACTTGGTGGTCTCTGAGGTCTCTCCCAGCCCTGGACCTAGGATGCCCGGTTGGTCATGTGTGCACAGCCTCCTGGCCCGGCTCCTTCTCAAACCCTGTTTCCAAAGTCCCATCCACGCTGGCCTCCCTCCAATAAAGCAGACCTTAAGTGTTGGACTCAGGGGCGTCCTGGTAAATGTTTGACAACCAGCTTTCTGCAGGGGGTGGGGGGATACCCTTGGTGCACTTTTAAGCTAAATCTGCCATTTTAAATTTTTCTCCATCACCGTCTTAAGTCTAGACAGTCACTAGATTTGTAGCATTGCTAATTTCAGCCCAGCCCTGGGGAGGTCCAGCCAAGACTTACATACCTCCACACACCACACCCAATCACCAGCCCTCTCCATTGCTTTCCTGTGTAGAGTTTGAGAAATAGATGTTCCCGGCCCCTGCAGACCCTCTCCCAGGCTCTTGGGCCTTTGGGCCTGACACCTCAAGCTGCATGGAAGGCTCCAAAGCTCAGCCCACCCCCAGCCTTCCCCAACATTCTTGACTTCCTGAGACATTCTGCTCCTCCCCCTTGAGGAAGAGGGTGTCCAAGGCCCCAGTGCCTCTTGCCGACTCAGCCTCCTTTGTGTTACAGGAGATGGCAAACATCTTGGCCCAGAAGCAACTGCGCTCCATCATCCTGATGGTGAGTGCCCCATGCTTTGGTGGTGGCAGGGGGGAGGAGGAGTCTGGGCAGCCCATCCCCTGACTTGTTTCTGTCGTGAAGAGGCAGGGATCCTGTTTAGAGCAGGTGCCCACAGGCTTCCTCACTGCCCGGAGCTCAGTAGGAGGGGACGAAGGTAACCCTGTATGCACTGTAAGGTCATCTAGTCAGTCCAGTCAAATCAGTAAACATGCATTAAGGGCCCGCTGTGTGCTGGACACTGTGCTAAGTGCTGGGGATACAAAGAAAGGTAGGAGACAGTCTTTGGCCTCGAGAAGTCCCCAGCCTGAAGGAAGAGACCACTTACAAACAAGATACAGGCAGGATAAACTGGAGATAATCCACCGAGGGAAGGCCCCAGCGTTAAGAAGAACTGGGAAAGGCTGAGACCTGGGGGAAGCCAGGGTGGAGACGAGGAGGGAGAACATTCCAGGACTGGGACAGTGGGTGCAAATGCCTGTAAGTGAGAGATGGCGTGCCTTATGTGAGGTCAGGATCAAGGAGACAACAGGTACCTCCCGAGAAAGTAGAGTCTGAGAGAAATGAATGAAGGAGAGGGCACTGACCCCCGGGGCCAGGCTGGGCTGGGAGGGCCAGGCCACAGGAAAAGTAGCACCTGAGCCCAGCTCTTTGTAAGCTCCCCGAGGGCAGCAACCCTCCCTTCCCTCTTCTGTCTTTTTGTTCACAGGGCTTGGCACATAGTAGGCACTTAATGAATGCTTGTTCATTGGTGGATTTATCAAAGGCCATCTCTGCTCTCAGATTAGACTTGGCAGGAGCCAGTAGGATCACATTACAAAGGCCTCCGGTGCCCTCGAGGGGCCTGGGCCTCACAGTCTGGGTCTTTGGGGAGGTCCTGGAGGACAGAAGGCCCATAGAGCCACTTGCTCTCCCGGCTGGGTGTTTCTCCTCCCTGCCTTGACTAGACAAATTCACCAGGAGTCAGCTTCACACTTGAATTCAAAGCATTTCCAGTGAGTTGGTGGGGCAAGCTTTCACTTGGTTTGTGTGTGTGTGTGTTTTGTTTTTCACTTTGGTTTTTGCCTTGTCCCTGCATCCCCCAGCATGTCATCCGAGCCCAGAGAGCCATCAATAACGAAATGGCCCATCAGCTATACGTCCTGCAAGTCCTTACCTTTAACCTGCTGGAGGACCGAATGATGACCAAAATGGACCCACAGGATCAGGTGAGGGGCTGGTCTGCCAGAGATGGAGCTGCTGATGGCAAGCCTCGGTCTTGGAGGGAGAACATGGGACCAAAGGGATGGTGGAGGATCTTCATCTCCCACATCCCTACTCCCAAACTAGGGCTTTGCCTTCATTTCTAACCTTCCAGTAAATCCATTCCATGTCAAAGTAAATGTTTTCGCTCTCTTGGAATCCTCCCTTTTCTCTGACCTCAACCTATGATGCTTCAAGTTAAATATTTTCTCTCATTCTTCATGGAGATGGGGTCTCCAGGGGAAGGTGTTTGCTTATTACTCTGAGATCTGGGGATCTTGATCAGGTAGGGATCATGGGAGATCGTCAAAGCCCAGCCTCTCATTTTATAGATAAGAGCGCTGAGTTGGAGGGAGGGAAGGGATTTTTGACGACTTACAGGGGCCATCCTCTGATTTCGGGATGGCAGAATCTCAAGAGTTGGAAGGGACCGCCCTCTGCCATACCCACGCATCTAGTCTCTGCTGCCCAGCGCTGCTGGTTCTGTTTACTGGGGCCACGTGGAGCAAGGCTGATCCCTCTGCCGTGTGATAGTCTTTTAGATACATGACATCAGACGACTCCATGGCAGTTTTTACTGTTACAGGCTGCACCTCTTTGTCCCCTGCCCTGGCATTCCCTCCCCTCCCCCAAACAGAAACATCTCCGTATCTTGGGCTTGAAACTGCTACTCCCACTAATTCATGTTTGCCTCTGGAGCCGACGACTCTTAAACAGAACGTTGCACTTTACGATGTGTATATATCTATAGTTCCCCCCTTGAATCTGTGATTTCATTGATGTAGAGAACTCTCACAGGAAAAAGCATAATTTAAAACATTTCTGTCTTATAGTCTTAGGGAAGCTATCTGGGGCACAGAGAAAGTGAGTGATTTGGCCACAGTCACGCAGCCAGGATGTGTTAGGGGTTAGACTTAAACCCAGGCCTTACTGGCTTTGAGACTGGCTGTATTCATGATACCATGCTGCCTCTCTCTGAGAGATATTAAATCTACACTGACAGCTGGATGGCCATCTATAACTATACCCCATACTCATGTCTCTAACTGTAGTTACAGATAGCTCTGTGTCTATACCTATACTATACCTCTGCCTATGCATATACCTATATTCATAACCATGCCTGACACATAGTAAGTGCTTAATCGAAGCTTATTGACTGACTGGCTGGAGACAGATGTAGGCATATCTATTAGTATCTATACCTATAACAATGCTTATTTATCTGGCACATAGTAGATGCTTAATCAATGCTGTTGACTGACTTACTATAGACAAATATAGGCATATCTATCAATATCTGTATCTATAACCATACATATAGCAATGCCTATTCATCTGGCACATAATAAGTGCTTAATCAATGTTTGTTGAGTTAGGTATAGCTATATCTGTATCTCTAGCCATACCCGTATCTACACCTGTTGTATCTTTGCCCACATCCTTACCTACCACCTACACTAGCATCTTTACCTCTATCATCAGGATGATGGGTCCCCATAGCTCACCGTACATCTGTACCTCTATTCGTAGCCATTGTGTTTACGGACACAACATCTGTGTAGAACATTATACAGTCATTTTGGCCTGAGATTTTCCTCCTTCAGTTCACAGGTTTCCTTATACATCACCATGAACGCAGGGAAACCAATTCCAGTGGCTGCCAGACCCCAGGATGGTCCTCACTTCCAGGCACCCACTCCAGAGGCTCTCAGTTCTAGGAGAACTCCCCCGGGCCTGGGGGGAGGATGGGGTGTAGCCCCCCAGGCTGAGGCTGCTGTCCTGCTGGGCCATCTCTTTGGCCCTTCCTGGGGTTCCCTTCAGATCGGCCTCTGGCCATTTCGTTTCTCCCAGAGAATTGGCCATGAGACCCACCATAGAGCAAAGCCAGGCCCAGCAGGCCCGGGAGGAGGAAGGAGGGCCAGGCAGAGCCTGTAAGGCTGAGCTTTGGGGTGTGGGTCTTTTTTGTTTGCCAAAGACAGTCAAGTTTATCAGAATGAGACAAGCATGAGCCATAAGAAAACTCTTAGTGCCACAGAAACTTCAGCTGTTAGGGAGGGGCAGGGTGGCCCAGTGGATAAAGCCTTGGATTTGGTGTCTGGAACACCTGCTTTGTAATCCTGCCTCTGACATTCACTAGCTGCATGACCTTGGGCAAGTCCCTTCATCTCTCCGTGCGTCAGTTTACTCATCTCTAAAGGGGTCCATAAGAGTGCCTTCCTCAGGGCAGTGTTGCAGAAACATCATCAGTTCCCTTCTTCCCCCGCCACAGGCCCAGAGGGACATCATCTTTGAGCTGAGACACATCGCTTTCGACCTCGAGGGCGAGCACAACAACAGCGGTGGGAGCATTGAAAAGCGCAAGTCCATGTACACACGGGACTACAAAAAGCTTGGCTTCATCGTAAGTACCTGGGCAGCCTCTTGGCCTCTGCCTCTCTGTGGCTGCCTCTGGGCCTGCCCTCCCTGCCAACCCTCAGCTGGTTTCAGTGAAGGATCACGTGAGAAATTCCTCTGGCCGTGGGCCCGTGCAATAGCTTGTAGGGGCCTATCCTTAAAGGGGGCCAAGGGGAGCTCATCAGGAATGCTCAGCCACACCTTGGAAGCCCAGTCCCTCGCTGCTCTGGGCCCTGGGTTTGAAGAGGTCATAGGCAGTGTCTCTGAATTTGGCTGCTGAATTTCTGCCCAGGACTTTGAGACTTAAGGGTTTAGGGGGGCTCATTTTCTCCCTGTGGATAGAAGGATCTGGGTTCAAGTCCTGCCACTGGCCCCTCCTGGCTTTGCAGCTCTGGGCAAAATGCTTAACCTCTCTAGGCCTTAGGTAACTCCTTAGGATGATGGGGGAGGGAGTTTGCTTACTGGGAATTTCGATACTGAGGAAACCACAGACCTAGACCAAACAAATGAACCAAAAGCAGTGGTACTGATGATGATGATGATGGTGATGGTGATGGTGATGGTGATGGTGATGGTGATGGTGATG